TTAAAAAGAAATAATAAATCGATTTAAGTAGGGAACACATCAATACCTAGAAAATGTTGTAGAAATAATTTTTTTAACAAAAAATTCAGAAAACATATTTGAAGTAGAAACAGAAAGAATAGTTTTTAAAATAGTAGGGCACAAGAGTAAATTCCGTACATTGTCCCTTTTACACGGACGCCAAAGCCGCCGATACCCGTTAATTCCTTGATCGGCAGAAAACCGGAAGTTATTTTGTCCCGGACGTTACCGGTGCTCGAAATTTTTAGGATTCGACTGTTATAGGTGTATGTTTGGATCGCGGCGTTGTACGGGTGCGAAACATGGACAGTGGCCGCGACGGAAAAGAAAAGGTTAGAAGTTTTCGAAACGTGGTGTTATAGGCGAATGATGACGATAAATTGGGTAGAAAAGGTTAGAAATTAAGAGGTATTAGAAAGAATAGGAGAACAGAGGACTCTATGGAAGTATAGGCGAGATAGGTTGGTAGGACACCTTCTCAGACATGAAGGTTTAGTCAGAGACATATTACAGGCAGAAACAGGAGTTAGGAGGGGTAGAGGTAGACCCAGATTAAATAACTGTTCGCAAATAGTTAAAGATGTGGTTTGTTTTAGTTTTAGGGAAATGCGAAGTTTAGCTCAGGATAGGAAGCTTTCCAATTTAACTATTGACTGTGAGGGTAAAAATTGTAGAAGTCACAAATTCTTGCTATCTAGGAAATCAAATAGATCGGGATGGAAAAAGCGACGGACATAAAACAATGGTTATCACGGGGCTTTTGATAAACAGAAATCAGGATAGGAAGGAATGCTGGTGTGCGTGTCGTACTCATAACCTTGTGATGATGATTATGCCATGTTTCTTTTCGCGTGTATTGAACATTGCGTTTCTATATTTTCCATTAATTAACAAAGAATACGTCTTCTAGATAAAAACCGAAGTTTACAGCACTTACTACGATGATTTTTTTTTATTTTATGTTGCAGGTGATTAATTGCGGGTGCTGATGAATAATTATTACTTATTTTAATTATGGTTTTGCTTGGATCACATAACGAGCGGGAACGTTGATGGTTCATTATAATAATATTTCATAATTACAGGGTTTTAAATTTTATAGTTTGAAAATACAAGTTGCATTAATAGAATATTAGTTATGTACAATGAGTTTTCGTTGGCATTATATAATGAATAAATCGAGACAAGCATTGAAAATTGCATCGCCATACATAATTTCGAATTATTCAACCATATATTATGGTTTGTCAGCTTGAATTTACGCACATCTGGAATTGTAACTTCAGTGTCGTAAACGCATAGATGGTTTTTAAAATTTTACATTCAACATGTCAAACTTCGAATACGCTGTATTTGGTTTTTTTCGTATGGAACACTTCGTGTATTATTTCAATGAATATATAATTGAATTCATCTTCAAATGCATTCATGTCGCTTCTTCCGACGAGTGCGCTTACCTTTACTCTTAACTACTTCCAAGTCACAGTGGAGGCACTTACGTGGCGATTCTTACTTTGTCGATTTACCACGACAGCGCCAATAGAATGGGCGATTAAAGTACGCTGTATTAGCGCGTACAGATCTAGATCTAGTGTTGCAATAGTCTTCTGCTACCGCTTCCGTAATTACGGAAGTTCCGCATACATTCTCACATCCGCTTCTGCATCTGTTTCCGCATTTTTATAATGGAAACGTATCGAAACTTAACAAAACCTTATTTCTCAACTTTTCGAAAATCAATATATTGGAACAATAAAACAATTCGAAAAATTTATTACATGTTAAAAATAGTTAAAAAACGCATATGGGTCAATATACAGTATTGGAATTGTAACGGCCCCATCAGAAATCTTTCAGAAAATCAATTAATTTATTGCCTTGTACAAAAATTAAAAAAAAAAAAACGTGGGAAAAAAGGCTGAGAAAAAAAATGTGAAGTTGAAAGATTACGTTATGAGAAAAGAAAAAACAATCCAGTAAAGAATGGCCAGTTAAAAAAAAGAAAAGCTGAGATATCAAAGAAAAAAGGAAATTGGACAAAAAAAGTATGAAAGATATGACTCAAAAGGGAACAACGAACTATTAGAAAAATATGGAGAGAGAAAACTAAAAAGTACAGAGCCTGAGGCTTATAAGACTTTAAAAAAATAGTTGATCATCTTGTCCATAATACATACACATTATGAAGTTGAGAGACATTTAATTTTAATTCAAAAACATAACTTTTTTCTGGGGTCACTAAAAATACCTTTATCATATATACTCACCCATATATAAAATACATATTAGAGGATTTCTGTCCGGAAGTTTGTTAACAGTATTTATTTTAAGTTTGGTTTACTTAATGCATCATACTTTTTACTGTAATTCTTTTTTAATTTACGCGTTTTAAGTATTCATTTATTTTTCTTTCTACTTAGTTTTTTATACAAAATCAACGAAATTACGACGTAGTAAAAAATTTACACACTTTTTATCACTAATATTTACTCTCGCTTTGTTTAGCTGAGGATGTATTAAATGTGATACATAGAAAACATCTTAGAATGTACAGGTATTACGTGTTACGCTTATGGAAACAAAAAAAAATAAATTAAAAAGATAATTGATATTAGAGTGCATACTTATTTACAATTTGATAATAAATAATAACTGAACGTAGTTTCTCAAACTTCTATTGTAATTCCCTATAATATTTTTCATTATAGGTACTATAACTTTATGAATTGATGATTTAAAATCAATCAAATCAACACCACATCAGTATAGTGAAATAATGTTGCAGTAAATTGCAATATATGAAACTTTGGAAACAACATTACATTTATGTTTTTCTTTATCATTAAATTATGGAAACGTTTCAAAAACTAAAACGTTTCCTCCATTAAAAGTCAAATTATAGGTATCGTAATTAACAGGTGAAATAATTACGTATTGTAGATAATCCAAAGACGCGGGTTTTGATCCAAGCAAAACTTTACAACCGTCAATAGTACCTACAATGACCGAAATAGTTATTTATTAATATTAAAAGAAAATCCGATATTGAAAAGAAATCAAAAAGAAACGGCGTCGCACGATTTCGTGTCCAAAACGAATATATCAAATTAATGATGCACCAATAAAGCATATTTTATACCTTTAATTTAAAAATGTTTGTTTATGTGAAGTCTTTTCCTTTGTTGATTAAATTTATAAATTTGGTTTAAGTGCCTATCACCTATACAGGATGAGATCTTGAAACAGTAAAATATCTTGATTGAATCTCATTATTTTAGAAAATATTTTAGATAAAAGTTCAATGCTTTTGAAAAGGTAATCAGTTGGCGATCTTGAACGTTACTTTCACCTTGATCTTGGAAGTCATTTGCAGGTGATATCACTTTTTTATATTTTTGACATCTGTATTGATAGGAGGAGAAACGTTTGTACGTTAAGAATAATTAGATTAATATCCGAAATGCGTATGCATCTTATTTAAATCTTATTATTTTGGGATAAAATTTAGACAAATGTTCTGATGGCCTTCAATGTGACCTCAACCATGATCTTTCAGGTCATCTGAGGTTTTTGAAAAAGTAAATGCATATTTTTGACTCTGAACAGTGGAATCGGCAGAAAATATAGTAATCACAAACTCCCTTCACTCTTAACCAGAGGTAAGAACAAACCAATTTCAAGTTAATTTTTGATTACAAGATTTTCTACTGTTTTCATTTATGCGATCAAAAATATGTATTCCCATAAAAAAACAGATTGAATTTTGAATACCCACTCCTAATAATCGGGGTAGTTGCCCCCCTTAAAGTCCCCAGTTGACTACCCATTTTAAAAAAAACATACGAAATTTAGTCATAACTTTTTCCGAGATATGGAGATTCGACCAAGATAATTCGTATATTCCATTGTTCTTAATTTCAAATGGATAAGGACTGAATGATTGAAAACAAATCAACTTTAAGGGCATTTTATATAACTTTCCGCTTTTTTTGTTTTTGGGATCAAAAATATGAATTCTGATTTAAAAAGAAGGATTTGATCATTAAATAATCTCGAAGACCAAGACCACGGTCAAGTTCACAATCAAGGCCATCCACCGACTTATTTCTCCTTCGAAGGCATACCTCCATTTTTTATCGGAAAGATTATTGAAAGTGTATGAGATTCAGTTAATTTATTTTCTCAAGATAAATGATCCTATAGGGTTGTTCGGAAAGTCATTTCGTTTTTTTTTTGTGGAAATGAAAGACAGTTTTCGTATTATAAACAAATACTTTATTAAATTATATATTGACCGTTCTGGTCCAACACCTTTTGCCATCATTCTGGTAGTAGCATAATTCCACGCTCATAAAATTTTTGGTCTTTGCTGGCAAAAAACTGATCGAGGAGGTTTTTGACCTCCTCATTTGAGGTGAAGGTTTTACCGTCTAAAAAATTTTGGAGTGACCGGAACAAATAATAATCCGATGGTGCCAGGTCTGGAGAATATGGTGGGTGTAGCATTGTATCCCATTCAAGCTGTAAAAGCTTTTGGCGAGTGACCAAACTTGTGTGAGGTCTCGCGTTGTCTTGGTGAAACACTACACCTTTCCTGTTGATTAGTTCTGACCTTTTCTGTTGAAGTGCATCATTCAGTTTGTCCAGCTGATGACAGTAGACTTCCGAATTAATCGTTGTGTTATCCGGTAAAAGCTAAAAAAAAACGATTCCTTTAAAATCCCACCAAACAGACAGCATCACCTTTTTTTGGTGAATATCGGCTTTGGAAATGGTTTGAGCCGGTTCATCTTTTTTGCTCCATGACCTCTTGCGTTTGACATTGTTGTATACAACCCATTTTTCGTCCCCAGTGATGATGCGCTTCAAAAACGGATCATTTTCGTGACGTTTGAGAAACAAATCGCAGACGTCAATGCGGCGACACAGATTTTCTCTCTGTGAGAACATGGGGAACCCATACATCGAGCTTCGAGGATTATCCCAGGCCTTTCAAGTGGTCATAAACTGTTGAATTTGATAATAAATTTAACCTCAATCCGATCTCACGTGTTGTTATTCGCCGGTTCACATCAACTAATGCCTTTATCGCGTCTTTATTAGCTTCAACCGGCCTTGTGCATCTTCGACATCAAAATTGCCGGATCGAAATTTAGCGAACCAGTTCTGGCACTGGCGTACTGTCAACACACCTTCTCCATACACATCAGTCAATTTCTTTCTGGCTTGAACAGCATTTTTACCCTTTCTGTAGTAAAACAATAAGATATGTCGCAAAACTGCGTAGAATTAATTAGAATTTTTCACACACAAGCCTTGCTATATGAGCTCTCAAAGCATATAAAAATTATACGGCTTAAATGTGAAGTTGGGTGCAAAAGAATACAATTAAATTCTCTGTCGAGAAAAAACGAAATGGCTTCCCGAACAATCCGATACATATGTAAACTGCTCCGTAGATTGTAGTAGATACAGTTATCAAGTAGATCGTAGTTTCGTCTCTTGTCTCTTGTCAAGCATGTGAAAATCTGCGTTTAATAATAAATACCAGTAGATGACAATATACTACCAGTAACCTGATATTACATGAACTTGCGCTCAGATATGTGTTTTATACAAACTGCATAAGTTCAAAATTGAGATTCATTGATAGTTTTGATAATTTACTGACCATGTACTTTATTTTTTTATTATTACAAATTTCTGTTTATTTAGTTTTATCCTGCGATAATAAAAACTATTTGCAGTAAACACAAAATAAACTCTTCAGATTTTTAGATATACTACCAAAATTAATGGAAATGAAAGAGAAATATGGAGGAATGTATCCAATATACATAGGATTTAGCGCACCATCGCTTACCATTACCGATCCAAAATTTTTAGAATTTTTGCTTGGATCAACAGCAATAACAGAAAAAAGTTCCGATTATAGATGTCTTCATAGTTGGTTAGGAATGGGACTCCTTACTAGCGCAGGTATGTAAATTAGTTTAATACGTTTCAAAACTGCATACTTACAATACTTATGTTTTTTATTCAATTATTCTGAAAGGAAACTGGATAACAATTATGTGGAATAGAATAAAACGTTCTATCCTACATAATTTATCTTTTAATTTTGTTCAAGAGTGTGACTTCTTCAAAAGTCTTGAACGTAAAGAATGACTAAAAATATTGAAACTTAAGACATTGTTTTTAATTACTAATACTGGTTAATGTTAATATGCAACATCAACATGAAATCACTTTTCGATTTTGACCTACTACAAATTTCCTCAAATTAATGAGGAAAATATTTTTATTGCTGTTGTTACCCGGGACCTTTGGCTTTACGCACCAAAGCCCTGGTTCGATTCCCGGCGGGGGGTGACAACAGCAACAAAAATATTTTCCTCATTAATTTGAGGATATTTGTAGTAGGTCAAAATCGAAAAGTGATTTCATGTTGATGTTGCAAATAAAAATATTGAGTTGCTGACGAATCAGAATAAAGTAATAAAATATTAAACTGCATTCCGAGTTGTTTCTTAGACCTTAATTTTGCCTAAATTTCTGTGAGAAGTTCTGTTATAAGTTGTTAACAATTTGAAATACATTCGATAAAAGGAAGTTGTTTGCCGATCACGTATGACGTTGCAGTCGTATTGAATGTCATTTGTGTACATAGTGCTATTAAGACACAAACAAACTTACAAAAGCTTTTGTCTGTCTGTCTGCCTGTCTGTACCGACTAATCCTCGAAACGGTTAAAATGATTTCGATGGGACTTAATGGAAACGAAGAGAAGGTTGTCGGGAGAAATCTATAGGATTCCATCTTCGTTTATGTATGCATTTGTTATTTTTTGATTGTTTAATATGGACCAAATCGTGGGTAAAAGTTACATAGAAACACGCAAATCGGGTTTTTACTTAACCGAAAATACCCTGCAATAATTTAATAATATAATCATTTACGAATACAAAGGGCATGTAAAAAATACGATATAGGCAGGATCCTCTTTCAACATACGTACACTATGTCTGATTAGTACTCCGGAAAAATTAAAGGTGAAGAAAGTACAAGAAAAAGATATGGATTGAGCTATCTCACACACGTTGGTTTTTGTATTTTGTGGGTTTAACAAAATTAACTTTTATTTACACTAATTATTAAAGAATTTAAAAACACTATTAAATTATTACTAAACTTAGGTTATGAATTATTCTATTTATTTACACTACTGTTGATATATTACTATTCACTGCGCTATTTATTTCACTGCTATCACTGTCAATGTATTTCTGGATTCACTTCTGCAACGGTCAATTTATTTCTCTTTCTCTCGGCGATCGTCTCTTCCCTTAAATACTCTTTTGTTTACTTTCGGGAACCTTCTGGAAACATCCGGATAGTTTATTTTTTCTTTGAACTGTTTAACTGCTTTCCCAGAACGCAGGTACTACACACACATTTACAAATACGACGCACATGAAGAAAGGCGCCCGCAGCTAGTCGGCGAATCGATAAGCCGTTCACGCACACGTGTGCCCGATCGCACACAAATACACTCGTGCTCGCTACAATACTTTTACACCCTTACGTTACGGCGCTATCATGAGATGCACTCTACACTGCCTTCAGATGTTACCTTTTAATATTGTGGAATATTGACCAGACATAGTATACATGATATGGGTTTTATTCTATTTCATCTTCAGTGTTTTATGCCTACTAAAACATGAAACCATATTTCTGCCTTGGAAACGTTCATTCCTCTAAATAGAATTGTTTTTAATTTTCATTTTTATGATGTTATATAAGCTATTAAATTAATAAGTATGTAGAAATAAAAGTTTGCCTTCTGAAGGTTATAGGTGGAGGAGTCATAGAAAAATTATAACGCCAGCATTCCATTTTAAAATATTAGAGAGCTTTATTGATGTATTTGAAAAGAACTGTAGCATTCTTATTAAAAAATTTGAACAAGAAGTCGGGAAAAATTCTTTTGACGTATATCCTTACGTTACATTATTGGCACTTGATATAATCTGTGGTAAGTGTAATCTATAAAATATTTACACTGATTTGCATTTAGAATCCCTTAATATGTTTCATAAAGCTTCTGTTTTATGTTAAAATTTGGATAAATAAATTTTTAATTTTGTAGAAACAGCATTAGGAACTGAAGTATACGCACAAACAAACGCTCATTCCGAATATGTAGAAAGTGTAAAGGATATGTGCAGGATAATAATGGAAAGGACATTTAATCCATTCTTGCAAAACGACTTTATTTATAAACTGAGTAGCATTTACAGGCGCGAGAAGAAGGCATTAAAAATTTTACACAATCTGACCTTGTCAGTGCTCCAAACGAAAAGAAAGCGATTGCTATCGAACGGTTCACTTGCAAATCAAGACGAATGTCTCGGTATAAAGAAGAAACTTGCGTTTTTAGACTTACTTCTTCAGGCTACCGTCGATGGAAAACCGTTATCGGACACTGATCTAAGGGAGGAGGTTGATACATTTATGTTTGAGGTAGGAATTACATTTAATATTTTATACGACTTTTACGAGTTTACGAGGAAGGTTTAATAAGTGACTGGGGATGATATTAAACTATTTGAGTTTCATAATGTACTTTATTTTTCAACGTAGTCCCCTCGAAGTTCAAGACACTTATCCCAATTGTTTTGCAACTGCGCGAGTCTTTCGATGGAATTAACTTCGTTGAGACATTCAAAATAATTGTTTACTTTCTGTATGACCTGGTGAATAAGCAAAATATAAAGGCAGTTCAAATCAAGATTCGACAGTTTTTGCGATGTTATAACGAAACAACATCTTTTTCTTGACCTTTCCCGATTGTTCCTGTGCTAATCTGACTTCTAAGTGGTTAAAAAATGATATGCAGCATTATCTGGTAATTGTGTTTCACCTGTCAAGGTAGTTAACTGCGAAAATCCCTTTAGCGTCCCAAAGAACTGACGCTATCATCTTTCCAGCGAGCAGAACGCATTTATCTTTTTTTGAATCCCGTTCGCTGTGTTTAATCTACTGCCTTGACCGATGTTTCGTTTTTGGGGAATAGTTGTGAATCTATGTTTCGTCTATCTTGGGATGTTTTCACATCAGAAAGCACCCTTAACAGGGATGGAGTAATAAGATGGATATTGTAAAAAAATGATGCAGAAATTTCACTGGATTCTTTTCAAACACTTTCAAATGGTGGGAGAAGTTTATTTTCGAATTCGTTTTTACTTTGGCATAACATCTATCTTGTGGAAAGGTTGAACGTGTGCAATTCCTTATGCAAAATAATGCGAATCCGCTTGGTTGAGATACCCGTGACCGTTGCTAATTTATGCATTTTAATTCGTCTACAGCGGCTAAAACTAAAATACTGACTGTCGATGATCTCGGGTGTTATATAACTTATTTCGGAGTACCAGGATGTAGTGCATTGTCGATGTTCGTTCTACCACCTTTAAACTCGTTTGGTCAAAGTTAAACAATTTCACAGGAAGGACGTGAACCACCCATTATAGTTAAAAAAAACTAATTACTTCCCACCATGAATTCTAGTTTATTTCATTTCTTTTCCTCGAAAGCTAATTCCTAGAAAAATGGCACCACAAAATATTTCTTATAATTGTTACGATAAATTGGAGCAGTTTAGAGTCTAAATAGTATATGAGTCAATTAATTTCATTTTTGTGCAAACTAATGTAAGCTGGGATTTTTCGGTCTCCACAGTTTCAAATCGTAAGTCGTTTATTTCTTCTTCTATCGAACATTTTGGGTTCAAAGGATGGTATAATGCAACAACCTGAACGTTTTATTTTAAAATTTAATATTTTTAATAAAGAAGATTGATAAAACGAAATGTCCTGCTTGATCGTCTCTTCCCTTAAATACTCTTTTGTTTACTTTCGGGAACCTTCTGGAAACATCCGGATAGTTTATTTTTTCTTTGAACTGTTTAACTGCTTTCCCAGAACGCAGGTACTACACACACATTTACAAATACGACGCACATGAAGAAAGGCGCCCGCAGCTAGTCGGCGAATCGATAAGCCGTTCACGCACACGTGTGCCCGATCGCACACAAATACACTCGTGCTCGCTACAATACTTTTACACCCTTACGTTACGGCGCTATCATGAGATGCACTCTACACTGCCTTCAGATGTTACCTTTTAATATTGTGGAATATTGACCAGACATAGTATACATGATATGGGTTTTATTCTATTTCATCTTCAGTGTTTTATGCCTACTAAAACATGAAACCATATTTCTGCCTTGGAAACGTTCATTCCTCTAAATAGAATTGTTTTTAATTTTCATTTTTATGATGTTATATAAGCTATTAAATTAATAAGTATGTAGAAATAAAAGTTTGCCTTCTGAAGGTTATAGGTGGAGGAGTCATAGAAAAATTATAACGCCAGCATTCCATTTTAAAATATTAGAGAGCTTTATTGATGTATTTGAAAAGAACTGTAGCATTCTTATTAAAAAATTTGAACAAGAAGTCGGGAAAAATTCTTTTGACGTATATCCTTACGTTACATTATTGGCACTTGATATAATCTGTGGTAAGTGTAATCTATAAAATATTTACACTGATTTGCATTTAGAATCCCTTAATATGTTTCATAAAGCTTCTGTTTTATGTTAAAATTTGGATAAATAAATTTTTAATTTTGTAGAAACAGCATTAGGAACTGAAGTATACGCACAAACAAACGCTCATTCCGAATATGTAGAAAGTGTAAAGGATATGTGCAGGATAATAATGGAAAGGACATTTAATCCATTCTTGCAAAACGACTTTATTTATAAACTGAGTAGCATTTACAGGCGCGAGAAGAAGGCATTAAAAATTTTACACAATCTGACCTTGTCAGTGCTCCAAACGAAAAGAAAGCGATTGCTATCGAACGGTTCACTTGCAAATCAAGACGAATGTCTCGGTATAAAGAAGAAACTTGCGTTTTTAGACTTACTTCTTCAGGCTACCGTCGATGGAAAACCGTTATCGGACACTGATCTAAGGGAGGAGGTTGATACATTTATGTTTGAGGTAGGAATTACATTTAATATTTTATACGACTTTTACGAGTTTACGAGGAAGGTTTAATAAGTGACTGGGGATGATATTAAACTATTTGAGTTTCATAATGTACTTTATTTTTCAACGTAGTCCCCTCGAAGTTCAAGACACTTATCCCAATTGTTTTGCAACTGCGCGAGTCTTTCGATGGAATTAACTTCGTTGAGACATTCAAAATAATTGTTTACTTTCTGTATGACCTGGTGAATAAGCAAAATATAAAGGCAGTTCAAATCAAGATTCGACAGTTTTTGCGATGTTATAACGAAACAACATCTTTTTCTTGACCTTTCCCGATTGTTCCTGTGCTAATCTGACTTCTAAGTGGTTAAAAAATGATATGCAGCATTATCTGGTAATTGTGTTTCACCTGTCAAGGTAGTTAACTGCGAAAATCCCTTTAGCGTCCCAAAGAACTGACGCTATCATCTTTCCAGCGAGCAGAACGCATTTATCTTTTTTTGAATCCCGTTCGCTGTGTTTAATCTACTGCCTTGACCGATGTTTCGTTTTTGGGGAATAGTTGTGAATCTATGTTTCGTCTATCTTGGGATGTTTTCACATCAGAAAGCACCCTTAACAGGGATGGAGTAATAAGATGGATATTGTAAAAAAATGATGCAGAAATTTCACTGGATTCTTTTCAAACACTTTCAAATGGTGGGAGAAGTTTATTTTCGAATTCGTTTTTACTTTGGCATAACATCTATCTTGTGGAAAGGTTGAACGTGTGCAATTCCTTATGCAAAATAATGCGAATCCGCTTGGTTGAGATACCCGTGACCGTTGCTAATTTATGCATTTTAATTCGTCTACAGCGGCTAAAACTAAAATACTGACTGTCGATGATCTCGGGTGTTATATAACTTATTTCGGAGTACCAGGATGTAGTGCATTGTCGATGTTCGTTCTACCACCTTTAAACTCGTTTGGTCAAAGTTAAACAATTTCACAGGAAGGACGTGAACCACCCATTATAGTTAAAAAAAACTAATTACTTCCCACCATGAATTCTAGTTTATTTCATTTCTTTTCCTCGAAAGCTAATTCCTAGAAAAATGGCACCACAAAATATTTCTTATAATTGTTACGATAAATTGGAGCAGTTTAGAGTCTAAATAGTATATGAGTCAATTAATTTCATTTTTGTGCAAACTAATGTAAGCTGGGATTTTTCGGTCTCCACAGTTTCAAATCGTAAGTCGTTTATTTCTTCTTCTATCGAACATTTTGGGTTCAAAGGATGGTATAATGCAACAACCTGAACGTTTTATTTTAAAATTTAATATTTTTAATAAAGAAGATTGATAAAACGAAATGTCCTGCTTCGTTTCGTCATTTTCTCGACAGTTATTGTATCTTATCTTGACGATGAGATAAAATGAGACGCATAATGTGTCTCAAGTAAGTTATTTATCAAACCGCCCTCGTATTTTTGTGTTCTTATCTACCTATTCAAAAAGAATGAGCATCTTTTGAAATTCGAAAAGTAATATTTTAATCGCTAATTTTAGGGCCATGATACGACTGCCTCAGCAATTAGCTTTATTCTCTATATGCTGTCCAAACATAAGGATGTGCAAGAGAAAATTATTCAAGAACTTAATATGATATACGCGGATGACACTTCCCGATCCTGTAACCATGCAGATTTATTGCAAATGAAATATTTAGAGGCAGTTATAAAGGAAACATTACGATTATATCCATCAGTACCCTTATTTGCAAGACAAGCAACAGAAGATATTATTTATGGTAAGCAGTAATAATTTACATTGTACAACGGTTTAAATAGTTTTCTTTGATTACTGCACCAAGTCTCATCATCATAAGGTCGTCAATTCTAAGATTGTTTGGACACGCACCCCACTCTTTTCTATCCTGAGCTAATCTTCTCATTTCCCTAAAACTAGAACATTCTACATCTTTAACTATTTGCGAACGGTAATCTAATCTAGGACTATCTCTACTCCTCTTAATTCCTGTTTCTGCCTTTAATATGTCTCTGACTAGACCATCATGCCTAGGTATCCTACCAACCAAACTCGCCTATTTATTATTGGCTTCCATAGAGTCTTCTGTTCTCCTATTCTTTCTAATACCTCTTCATTTGTAACCTTCTCTGTCCACGGTATCCTCATCATTCGCCTGTACCACCATATTTCGAACGCATCTAACCTTTTCTTTTCCGCCGCGCCCACGGTCCATGTTTCGCACCCGTACTGGCCGAGCTCCAAATATACACCTTTAAAAACCTTTTTCGAGTTTCTAAATTATTCATTCGCGAGCGTAGAAGTGACTTCCTGACTCATTTGACTTCCTAGTTACCAAGACTTACCCGAATTTAAATGAAAGCAAATCGACATATATTTACTGTTAATTACTATTTTAGAAAATACACTTATACCATGCGGAACACGACTTTCGATATTTGCTTTTGGAATTATGAGAGATCCGGATTTATTTCCAGAACCAGAAAAATTCGATCCAGATAGATTTCTATATAAGACTCGAAACGTTCAGTTTCCTTACGCTTATATACCGTTCAGTGCTGGACCACGAAATTGCATAGGTGAGTAAATCTCCTAAGGGGTCGTTCATAACATGTTCGCAAATAAGGGCAAGGGAGGGCTATTGCTAAGCATGGGGAAATCTGACAAGGGGGGGTGGGGTTGAAGGAATTGTAATGTTCGTAGTTCACCAATATCAAATATTAATGTAAAAATTTATTGATGTGAAACTTCTTTACGCACGGTAGGGTAAGTTCGTTTCATGCTAGTTGCTATGTAACGAATTCATGCAACGGATGTCCCCCTTCTACTCGGCCACGTAGTCGAGTTCGTAGTGGGGATCACATGAGCCGTAAGCGCGCTTCAATGCAACGTTCGTTACAGGCAACTCCGGCATGTATAGTGTAAAATTTAAATTCATAGTGTACAAATAATATCATTAAACCAATTCCTTAACCCCTATCCCGGTATGTTTATTTGTTTCACTTCAGTGGCGTGTTGTATAATTACACGTTGCATTTTTTATTTTTAACTCGGCAGTTTTTAAAATTTTTCATTGCGATAAAATTTCATTCTCAAGTATTTGAAAGCATCTAAATAAACATATGTGCTTGGGTGATTTTCTCGAAGGACCACCTCTCGTAGAGATAATTAAAGATATCATTTATAAGGGTATGAGCCACATTATATAATTTTTGTTAAGAGGGTCGGTGAAAGTGTGACTTAACGTGATGAAGACAGAGGGAAAGTTCTAAAAAGGTGACTTTTTTATGAACGGCCCCTATGTAGATGCCAGTACAAAAGGAAATTATTTTAATGTATGCTTTTAGGACAGAAATTTGCGATGTTGGAAATGAAAGCTACAATTTCGAAAATTTTAAGGGTTTACGAGATCCTCCCCGCTGAGCCAGTTCACGAACTTCTGCTGTCTCCCGAAACAACCTTAAAATCGGCAAATGGGATACACGTAAAAATAGAGAAAAGGAAGTAGTAGATAATAGAATTTAGGATGATTTTTTATTTATTATACTAGAATTCCTTTTAAACAAAAGATTTGCTAGTGAGAGCAATAGATACTGGTTAATGACTTTTTTTTTATTTAGTTCTGTAAAATAAATACAAAATTGACGAATTATGTTGAGTACACAATTATTATTTTCTTAATCTTAACACATTAGTGCTTGGGTCAGTAAACTTTCCAGATAGAAGACTGGATGGACATAGCCCTTCCTATCCTGAGTCAATCTTCATATTTCCCAAAAACCGGAGTTAGCTATTTCCATAACTGATAACTGTAGCCATTAATTTTATAAAAGACCTTTATATGTCTCAGAAGGTATATTACCATAATATCTCTCCTTTTTCTTATTGACTTAACTAGCGCCCTTCTTGTTCTCTTACTCTTTCAATATCTCCTTAGTTCTAACCTTTTCTATTTACCCTATTTTCATCATCCCCTCACAGAAGCACATCTTCTACAGCTCCATTTTGATCCATGTGAGAGCTGACTAAAAATCATTGACAATCGCGATTTTAATCGTCAGATCGTGGACAGAGTCATACACAAGAGCACAAAGAGCCAGATGTAGCTTGCGAATCGCGATTGCTGCTCATTGCCTTAGTAGAGCTTTAAGATATGAGTTTTGATTTATTTACCGTTTATGATGAGTATTTATTTGTTTATTTCAATATAATGGCATGCCATTAGAATTTCAAAAATCACAATTGTTATGACATGTAATAACAAAATAAGAAAATGATCCCATTGGTCGCATTTTCTTCTGCTTCCTGATTTGTACACATACATAATAGTATACTTATTTGAAGTCTTAATGTAAACTTAGTCAGGAAGTTTCAAATTATATTGCAGCATTTTCTTAAAGTATTAATTTGTTCAGTTTTTATATGAACAATTTAAAGTATCGAGAGGCTAATCTAATCATTTATCCGCCCTTAAGAAAAATAATATATACCCCTTATTAGAATAATACCTTAGGTGTAAGTCATGACCATGTTGTTCTATAGATAAACAATTTTTGCATTTTGAAAAACATGGAAGAACGGTGCTTCACTATTCTTCTATTTGAAGAAAAGACAGTGTAGTAGCAGACCAAAAAAGGGTGAACGCATTCGGCAAGAAAAGGATAGCGAGAACGCTCTAGTTTAAATCCCCTATCCCTAACACCTATCAAAATAATTATTGTGGTTTTTAAATAAAGTTTTGTAACTTTTCCTGAGTTTGTTTTACAATAAATGTGAAATAGAGGAGACAATGTTATCAGCACAAAGGATTCCCTGAAAGTCCTAATCCATTTGAATCAGAAGAGCCTGTATGAGATCAAATTGTATCGAAGTCTATATAGTGATCTAACGACACATCTTTTATCAATTCTCTTAATGCATAAATGTTATGAAAATAGTAAAATGTTTGCTACATCCAGTAATTTTGGAAAGCCTCAGTGATCGGTCCATCACGATACTCGCAATGAATCTGCTTCATTTTGGATTTAACACGATCTCACTGTCAAGGTCAATAAAATTGAATTCATATAACGTGGCACATTGTCGGCTTTACTTGCTGTACAGTTCACAATAGCAATTTTTCTGTATTTCTGCTTTTATAATTAAAGAACTTTAGCGTAATAGGTACTACAACGATTTTGATTACCTTTTACCGTACATAGACCAACAACTGTAACCTTATTTGTGCAACACGTGTATCACCATTAGTGCCAAATACAGGAGAATATTTGCAATTGAAATAAATGTATGTCGATGCCAAACTGTAAAATTCGGAATTTTTATATACAGCTAGGCAACTAAGAAAGCAAAGCTACTTTCGTATTGAAATTGATGTTCAGACTTATTGTTAAATATTGCATTCACGTGCCGTGCAAGTCATCGTATTTGTATAAGCACGCACTTGTACGCCAGATAATAAGTAATTGACCAACCTTCACATTAAAAGAACCTGGTAACAGAAATTTTTCTGTAATTCCACTCTTTCGTGCGAGTGACGCCGAACCGTTAACATGGTGCTGGCATTAATAGTGTTCGGTTTAATTACTGTTTTAGTTGTTGCTGTTTTATCGTGGCTAATAGTGCAATTTAGATATATTATTTATCTAAGAAAGATACCAGGCCCGCAACGAATACCAGTATTAGGAAATGCGCTCGACTTCAGAAATTCAGTTGGTATGTATTTACAATATTTTATTTAATTATATTGTTATGAAAATAGTACAATTCAAAGTAGTTACGCGGATTTCGTTGCGAGACAACTTTCACATGTTTCAATTGAGTTAAACGAGTTTTCCTTATGTATGTACATAATACATATTTATGTATGAAATTAGGTTGCGTGTACATACAGTTATCATTAAATGCATGTACAAGACAATAAGATAATTTATCATATTTTATGTGCTCGTAATATACCATATAGCAAGAGTGTTTATTTGCGGAAAATGACTGTTTACACATCACTGCGTGCAGTTACTTAGCCCACGCAATGAATATAATGCACGCTTCTGCATTGCCCTTAATGATAAGCCAGGAAAATTACGTTTGGAATAACTAGAAGAAGTCATATCACCAAGGTTTTACATCGGAATCATTTAGGATAAAATGTATTGAACAAACCCTTAATCAAAAGAGAGAGAGAGATAAGTATAGAAGTCCAGTGTGGATGGACAGAGTCTCAAACTTTCCAAAGAAGCAGGACATGCACGGTAGTAGTTGCGGTGTCTTCTAATTCAGTATAAGACCGATTGCATACATGGCGATTTTTCCGAGTGGAGGAATTACCGACGTCACCGTTCCAACTGTACCCCCACTGATTTGCAGTATATTAAGCACAAATAGCGATTTGGGGTTGGCGAAATAATCAGACTGGAAGGGGCTGCCATACTTTGATAAATTGGCAAATTTTTTGCGGTCAATAGATAAGCTGATGCTTGGCATAGTCTGGAGGTTTAGACGATTGCTTAGCATTCGGAAGGACGCCGGTTCGATAGTAGGTCCGTCAGCCTTGGTCCAAATCTTTCCATGGTTTCCTTGGATCACTTAGGCAAAAGCTGGGACAGTAATATTCCATAGACAATCTTCCATTCTATTTTGTCTTCAATTCGTCCTTCTCATTTTTCTCACTCGTGCCCACGATTACTGAAAGATGGATGAGGAGGACCTTCCGCTCTACCTTCCGGCGTAGGCCAAAGAGACTGCCCGCCCATTGCATTAGTGGTTGGTGGGAATTAAACACTCAAAGTTAGTTTTAACTCAGGTTTAAAAGGCGTCGTCGATTGGAGTTGTTTTCCAACGTTTCGCTAGCCCCATGTGGCGTCCAGCACAAACAGTATCGGAGATGGAACGACTTAAAACAGCTCGCCTCTCGTGCTATCGAAACACTTCCAGTAATTCTAATCGACAATGGTCTTTAAAACCGAATCAGGATAGCATCAGTTTTGTTATAGTTTCTACGAACATCTCACTAGTAATGTTGATTGGTACTAAGAAAAAAAAAAAAAAAACTTTTGGGTGTTTCATTCCCACCAGCCAGTAATGCTGGTGGGCGGGCAGTCCCTCCGGATTATGTCGAAAGGTAGGGCAGAAGGCCCTCTTCAGCCTGCTTTCAGGAATCGTGGGAATGGGTGGGTGGTGGTTCGGGTGAGAAAGATGAGACGGACGAAATGAAGACAGAAGAGAGTGAAAGATTATCTGTGGAATATTACTGCCTCAGCGTTTGCCTAAGTGATCCAAGGAAACCACAGAAAAACTTGGACCAAGGCAGACGGACCCGGAATCGAACCGGCGTCCTCCCGAATGCTAAGCAATGGTCTAGACCTCTAGGCCATGCCGCTCGGTTGGGTACTAAGAGAGATCCGGATCTTTCCGGCCTGTTCGGCCGACGTGAGATTGTATTAACAGGAGCAGTAATTGATCTTGTATGTGGGGATAGAGGTGACACAGTAGCATCTTCTGCCATCGTATCTCCTCCAGCGTGCTAAGACTGGCAGGGATTAGATAAGTTCCGCTCGCTCAAGAAGGTTCCAGGTGATCTTAGGTACTGCATAGAACTGATAGTGGTAGTTTCGATCTCCGCGCGTTGATCGAACGGATTTCAATCACTCGCCAAGGGAGCTAACGGCAAGCCATGTCCCACCACGATAAATAAAACGTACTGAGGGTATCCCCTCAGTATACCGATGTACCCCGCTGAAGTACATTAGAGTTTACACATTACACAGCCGATAGACGTTTTACCATCTTCACCATCATCTTGAACTAGTGGTCACATAAATAAAAACATTTTTAACCAAACATCCTCTCTTGCATCCTGCCTCATTTATCAAATAGGGTGTAGACTGTAGAAGGTACCAACCTCATCTATTCTTTTATTAGTTGAACGAATCCAGATCAGTCGACTGTTTCTATCCCTTATTATTCGACAACGGAATAACAATAACCCTAGAACTTGCTCTCTGTTCATTTGAACAACACAATTTTATGGAAGCGAGTGAGTTTGCTCGATCGATGCGTGTTCGCATTTTAAATCAGTTCGCGCATGACGTCACTCTGTGACATTTCAGTGATTTAAGTATCTTCAAAGTAAAACAAAAAAACGGTTAAACCAGTAAAGTATTCTTATAGTATAAACTCGTTTAATCCTACATGTAAAATCCTTTGTTGAAAATTAAATGAAACTGAATTATCACAGAAGCTAATATTATTTAACTTAAACATGTAGGTACCTGTATTATGAATTTAACGTAGATATGTATGTCACGGTATAATTAAATTTGTATTACATGATAATTTGTAATAGCAACATAATTTGCAACACTTTATGATATTGAACCAATAAATTATGAAGGGTTATAAGATTTTAAGATTAATTAAAAAAAAACATGGCAGAAAGCATATCATCCGGTTTAAGATTCTATTTGTTTTATTTTATTTTATCTTTGTCTAGGAAATCTAAAATGTCTTCTTCTTAGAAATGCTAACACAATTTTGACAATACAAATTTACGTTAAAAAGTTCTATAGTATACAGGTATAAAAAATGTAGGTATACATGTAAACTGAATCCTGATACGTCAATTGCATGTTGTATTGTTTTAATAGTTTTTAAACAAATGACAAAGAACCGCTGAAAATCGCGGTTTATAGAGTTATTTATAATAAACAATGGTTTTAATTCCGGATCTTTTTATACTGTAAAGTGTTAGGTAGTACTCACCATATCGAATAACTGTAGGTACTAAAACTTCAGCCTGATTGAACATTAATTTCCTGCAGAATTCTATTTTGCTATAAAAAAAAAAAGTGAAAATTTCACCTTCAAAGAAAGCAAGGGTCTGGTTACGTAGTTAATGATACCTCAATCTGTTTCCTATAATGAGTAATAGGTACAATTTTCGCTATAAACGAATGTAATTGTGTTATTTTATATTGCACGATTTTACAACAATAAATAACCGAGATACAAAAAGTTCACGCAATTCTACAATAAAAAGAGCATATTCTTCGACCTTTGGGGAACGAGATATGACCCATTAATGTTGCGCACAATACATATATTGATTAATTTTTTATTTGTGCTTACTTTTTTCAGTTTATTTTACTACAATTCAATTGTTTTGTAATAATTGAAGAGAATAAATGCGAATGTATTTTTTTAAATAAAAATAAACTTGATTAAAATTTATCTTTTTCTTTTAGCTTTTATTGAATGTATCAAGAAGTGTCATCCATATTTATGTCTCTTTATCTATCTTATATTGTTTAAAATTGTTAGTCAATAATGACACTGAAATTTGTCATTATCATGGTATATTTACATGCATTTATTATTACAAAAAGAATATGTGTAACTCATTCGATAACACAGTTATCAATAATAGCGCCACTTGAGCCTCGTGTGCGCTATTGACTAAAAAAAATTTTTTTTTCGATTTATAGATGTTTTTAAATATGTATGCATCGTTAAACAAAAGAATAGAGATATTTATATTTATTTATTTATTTATTATTCTTCTTTTGTCTTTAAGCTTTTCTACCGAAGTTGTTGGAATGTAAGAACAAATATGGCGATGTTTACCAGATAAGTTTCGGATTCCAAGAACCCCACATTATTGTATCCGACCATAAATTGGTACAGTTCATTTTAAGTTCGACCAAGATTTTAGACAAATCTGTCAACTACAAGTTTCTTCACAAATGGTTGGGACAAGGACTGCTCGTCAGCACCGGTTGATTATTTTTTTTTTTTATTTAGTTCCTAAAGTAGCACATTCAAAACATAATTATTGTACTGGGTCCTGGCGAATTCTTAGACACATGCTGGAGAGATAGCAACAAATGTTTGGACATTAATCATTAATTATTAATATAAACTGATTTCTATTATTAAAAAAAAGGATCTCCATGAAAAATCCACTCCTTTCGAGCTAGTAGCAACTGAAATATGATGTTCTTTACAACGTTTAATTAAATTCAAATGTTTACTTGATCTCCCCGTTAACATCACTTATATTCCGTTATATTTAACCGTCTTGTTTTAAAACCCTCTCTCCTACTAGAAAATTTCGGTTACTGGATTTAGTGTTATCCCAAATACAAATGTCAGGGTTACTTAACATATCGACGTAATTTACTATTTGCACTTTTATGTAAAAATTAATACGTGTTATTTTTCAAAAGTTGTCGTTACCCTAGACAAAAATATTCAGTCTCTCTCCACTCTCTCACAGTCTTTCACAGTCTCTCAGTTATTGCCTAGGTGTTTTTATGGAGAGAGAGACTGAATTAATAAAAATGAAAAATTGAGAGACTCGAGTCTCTCGAAGAAAGACTGGGATCTCTGAAATATGTTGAACTTAGAAAATTTTAACCATGTCTATCAAGACACTTATTGAGAGACTGGATACGAAATGAGTATCTCTCTATGAACGACTCGAGTCTCTCGTTCAGAGACGCTAAATGTTTTTTTTGACAATCTCTTGACAGTCTTTCTCAGCGACACCAGAAAAACTCGATGAGAGACGGAGACTCGAGTCTCGCTTTCAGAGACTCTGAGAGACTCAACATTTTTATCTCGAGTAAATGGAGAAAAGAAAAATCAATATTATTTTATTATTGTAATTGTAAAAAAAAGGCGGAAGAACTATAAGGGGAAGTTTAATTGAGGTTTAGAAGAAGTAGAGGAACGCGGAAGGCTTTTCTAGCTTTACGGGTAACAATAGAGAAAACGATAGAAAAAAGAAAAAATGCGTACAAAATGCTTTTGACAATATTAAATGGGACAAAAATGTAGGGATGAGTTATATAGATAGAAGAGTGATACTTAGTTTGTACAAAGAAAGAGCAACAGCCAGTTATAAAGCTGGAGCAGCAACGTAGAGAAGTAAATATTAGGAAGGGAATCAGACAAAGATTTAATCTATACATAGAAGACGTGATCAATATTATTAAAGACAGCACAACTGTAGGGATATATATATATAAATATATATATAGAGGCAAAAGATTAGTATGGTTAGATTTGCAGATAATATAGCAGTGTTAGCATCTAACAAGGATGGGTTAGAGATAGTTTTAAATAAAATGTAAGCGGTATTGGCAAACCAGTGCCTATTGTATGAAAATAATAATAATAACAATATTATAACGTATAGATAATGCTTAACAATATGCAAACGTTTGATTTGTTAAAAGAAAATTTATTTCTCATCTGGGTTTCAATATTGACTGTCGATTTTGTTTAACAAACAACAGAGTATTTTTACACAAATTTATTAATGCCGCAGCCAATCTGAAGAATCAGGCATTGTTAACGCGAATAATTGGAAATTTTATTTTATAAAAGAACTAC